GCGCCGCAAGACAAGGCACGATTAAATGCATGACATGGACTTCTCTATGTACGACATGGAGAATGCCCTGTCCAGGCACGCCCGTCATTTCTGTAGTGTCATTCGCGATGCAATGATACAGTTCGTACGGCGAAGGACCTCATGTACTGTCTTCATTGTCGGTTCGTTTTCGGCTTAGAATCTCCTGATTACTGTCTTAGTGACTTTCCCTTTTTTGGTAATTCCTGATTTACACTCTGAGAGATTTCTTGAACTAGGGTTCTGGAAATCAGAATCGGAAGTCCGTGAGGAAATCAGAATCAACTTCCTATTTTGTTTCTCCTTTTGGAATTTCAAAATTTATTAAATTGTGTTTGCGATTGACCTTCTGAATTGGATGCCAAAATTCATGGCCTAAATTTCCTTGATACGTTGTGATCTCCTCTTCAAATTTCAAATCTCAAAAAGACGTTCCAGATAGATTCTTAATCTTGTTCCCGATTTTCGATGGAAAGATCTACGGTTGTACATCTTAATTTTCTGGAGGTGTTTTTTTTTGTTGATGATCGCCTCAAAGTTTGTCTGAGGGGGAATTAGAATGGGAGGATGAAAAGAAGAATGGGGACTTTCAACAGACGGAAGATGTTGGTTAGGGTGAGTAGGTCAGTTTTTGCTTGGAAGAGTAGAAGTGCATATGGGACGCTGCACCCAGTTTCCAGCAAAATGGTGCGACTTTCAATGATGTACCGTTTTGAAAGATGTATCTAAGGGACGCTGGACCCGGTTTCCAGCAGGTGATGCTCCCCACCAATAGATGGAGCGGCCCAGGCAAAGCCTCAATCCCGGTGGTTCTCTTACCACCACCAAGATAGAGGCCTTGCACATGGGGCCTTACTGCTAAAAAAAAAAAAAAAAAAAGGACGATGCTGGGACGACATAGGCCGATGCTGGAGCTTTGCTCTGTGACCCAGGGGGAGCTTGAGGCCTATGGAGTTATGCCGAGGGTGGAAGGCATAACCAGATCGTCCAACGTAGTCGGCGCCGGGGTTTGGACCTTGTAACCTGTTTAGGGGTTTGCCGCTAAAGGAATTGTCGAGGGAGGAAGGCACTTCCTGTCCGTCAGAACTAGGTTGGTCGGTACTGGGGAGGGATGTGGTGCCCTGTTACCCTAGCAGAGGGGGGTACGAGACCAGGTGAGTTCTGGTACGAGGACTGAAAGCCGGGACCGACGGTCCGCTGGTTGAGAGGGGGATGGATTTCAGGAGAGTTGGTATTAATTTCTAGCTTATATGTAAATTTCCATATGGGACGCTGGGCCCGGTTCCCAGCACGTGCTGCTCCCCACGAATAGATTGGAGCTCTGTTCCCATAAAAATAAAAATAAAAAAAATTCTAGCTTCAACTTCCTTTTTTTGAATTCTATCCTAGTTGGCCGTTAGGGGGATTTGAGAATGTTTAGGATTCTGGGGCCTCTATCAACTTTTCCTAGGCTACTTTGAAGTTGTTATACTCAGCGATCTGTGGCTGTTCGATGCCAGAACGACGCTGGCCGGTGCTGGGGTGTTGCCCTGTAACCTGTTGACACAGGAGCGTGAGGCCTGGTAGAGAGATCTGGGGATGCTTCGGGATGGGCATCTCACGGAACAACCAAGGTTTGCTGCTGGGACGACGCTGGCCGGAGCTGGGGAGTTGTGTTGCCCTGTAACCCAGCAGGAAGTGGGGGTGTGAGGCCTGGAAGAGCTCGGCAGGGAGAAAGACAACTTTGAGGAACTCTGGAAGGGCTGGTTAGGGAGCTCGAGATTTTTTGGCGCTTCTTTTGCGACACCAGCGGTCTATTCTAAAAAGAAACGAGGAGAGTGGGAGAAGGAGATGGTGGGATATCATGCGTCCCACAAGTGAGGGGGCTAGCTGGTAGGATTGGAATAGGGTATAGCAGCAGTAGAGATGGTGGCTCTGCTGCAGTAAGTCTTGCCGGAGTGAGGAACAGAGGATTGATGGGGGGGGGGGGGGGGGGTTCTGAGTTGGATTTTGAATCCTGCGTATTCTTGAAGCATGTTGTAGTCATTTCTTAAGTAGCTCCAATTCTTTGAGCCAAAAAGAACGAGGCCAGTGGGGTGATGGTGGGATATCACGCCTCCTACTAGTGAGAGGGCTAGCTGGTAGGATGGGAATAGGGTATAGCAGCAGCGGAGATGGTGGCTCAACTGCAGTAAGTCTTGCCGGAGTGAGGTAAAGTGGATGGATGGGGGGGGTTTCTGAGTAGTTTTCTGAATTCAGTTCATATTCTGAAGTTTGTGGTGGTCATTTTTTTAAGTAGCTCCAATTTTTTCTGAGCCAAAGCAGTGTAATGGCCCCGCCATCTCAATTTTCACAACTTTTCTGTAAATTTCCATATGGGACGCTGGGCCCGGTTCCCAGCACGTGTTGCTCCCCACGAATAGATTGAAGCCTTGTTCCCAAAAAAAAAAAAAAAAAGAGCCGGGGGGGGGGGGGTGGAAGATTACGCAGGTCCGGAAGCTGGCGCGTCACAACCATGGAGTACTGTCTCATCCTGTCATAGTAGGACTCAGCCTCACCACCGCATGGCTTGTCAATGAAAATGTGTATTCAGTCAATGCCATCCATGCAGCCTGGGAATAAGATGGGGGGTCCTCGTCTGCAAGCTAGGCTCGAAAAACAAAAGGGCCTTTTGAATTTAGTATTGCACAGATGTCTTTTTTTTTTTTCCATAAGCCCTTCGAGGCTGTTTCATTAGTGTACTTGGAGCAAGTTGTTGTCTGAGTTTTCTCAGCCGAAGCCGGGTAACGGCCCCAGTGACTTGTGTATCCTTATATGGGACGCTGGGTAACGGCCCCGGTGACTTGTGTATCCTTATATGGGACGCTGGGTAACGGCCCCGGTGACTTGTGTATCCTTACAGGGGACGCTGTGCCCGTTTCCCAGCACACGCTCCTCCCCACGAATAGATTGGAGCATTTTGTCCCAAGAAAAAAAAAAAAAAAGATATCCTTAAGGCTTGCATCCACCTCGTGTCCATTCTCTTTATCCAGAGCACGATTCGTTGCAGGACTCTACCGAAGATGCCCTCCATCAACAGCTCCTCCCTCAATATGCAGCTCCTCGTTGTCGAACTTGTCGCTGTCCAGGTGGCAACACTGTGCGAAACCTTCCACACCACCATCCCCATTAAACACATGGAAGGCAAGATTCTGAACCAAAGCGACGGCAGTGGCGTTTTGCATGGCGAGGGTGCTTATGCCTGCACGCATTAAATCACGGTTGTGATGACACAAATATATCCGGAATCGGTCAACCTCGTTCTAGCACCCACTGATGTAACAGCTGCAGATAGGAGCTGATTTAAAGTGTTTTTCCTAAATTCTTCCTTTGCTGTGCTGGCCGTCGCACCACTCCAAAACCAAAGAAAACACCCCACTAGTGTGGGACCAAGCCCCTGCGGGCGAAATGGATGAAGTAAGAATTGGGAGTTGTTTTGCAGGACAGAAGGGTCCAGCGTGGTGGGTATTCTTTCACGAGGGGTATGGTGTGTTCTATGGTGTGGTATGTGAACTACAAGGACGCCTTTGTTGTACGGAAAATTGGAGGGGAAGTTGTGAGAGGAGCAGAAGAAACAAAAAGGAACCGATGGTCATTCATGCACATTCGGGCCTTGCTCCACTACATAACACCGACATGTATATTGAACTCAAAATCGTCCGAAATAGGTTCAAAATATAGGACTCCTTCAAATGCACCTGGTCAGAACGAAGCGCAAATGCATGCAGAATGTTGAAAAGATTGGGCCTTGCTCCACTACACAACAGTTTACACGCATATAGACCTCAACGTTGTCCATACGGGTTCGAAATGCAGGACTACGAATGCATCTGGTCAGAAAGGCGTACGAATGCACGCATACTGTTGAGGACTGGAGGGAGGCCCTTCTGCTATTGTTCCAGTGCAAATCCTTTCGTTTTTTTTCTTTTTCCCTCCGAAAAGCGAATCGGCCTTGAGACATTATCAATGAAGAGACCAGCCCTGGAAACTCAGAATTATTTTGTTCTGTTCATCTGAATTGATTCCAGCTGGATTTGAAGTTCGGTTCTGTACCTAGGACCGTTCATCCTCCACTGCATATTCTGCTATTGCTTCCCATCCGACATTCTGCTATTTGATTCTTTATACACCCAGAGAAACGTTTCCAGGGGAGGGGCTGCGGGGAATGGAACCGGAAGCCACTTTTTCCACGAGTTGCGTGGTTCACCCGAACACAATGGACGGGCGCTCATCAACCGGGTTGTATGGGAAACCTAACGCATTTCCAATCGTTTTAGTCACAACAAACCAGGGACATTACCACCTGCAGGAGCGCAACGAGGCTCACTACAGGACAACGACAACAGATGAAAGCGAAAAAAGCGAGAGCAATACGTCGTCACGCGGCGCTGAATGTTGAAAGAAACAGATATACGGCATGCAGTTCCAACAACCACAAGTTCCCGCAATAGAAGATCCAGAATGTGCAGACAGACCATAAGGAGTCGTGACTTGAGAAAATCAAACAACTTGCGAACTGAAAGAAGAAGAAGAAACGCATTGCAAACTACATTACACAGATCGAACATGCATGGGCGACGGGCGTTGCCCCACCAAGCAACACTACATTCATATGGACGCTTTATGGACCGAGTGCATTCGGACCAATCCAACACTTCCCAACTATCCGGTCCAAAATGCGACTAGAGTGTTACGTAGTGGGGCAAGGCCCATAGCTTGACCAATGTCATCCCGTATTCGAGATACACGTGGAACAGAAAATACATTGGAATTGCTAATCGAAACTTGGAGCGATCGGCACCTTCAAGATTTTCGAAAAGAAACACGATACAGAACACTTCCAAATCGACACCAATCAAGTTAAACTGAAACAAGTTCATGTCGGAAATGAAAATCACAAATGCATATCGACAGCAGTACAGTTAAACCTCCGAAACAGTTTCGAATCAGCAAAAAAAAAAGAGCTCACAAAGAATATTCCGTCTTTTGCAGCACATGAATCAGTTACGATTTGCTGTCACAGGAACGTCGAGGATTCCACAGGCTGTTCCCACCTGAAAATCCTCTATCAATTTCGAGTGCCAGAAACTTCCGAGACTCTGCTGCTAATGCTCAACCCTCAGGCCAATCGAAAGATAGTACCGCCTGCCTCCTCCCGAGCCATCACGCGCAACAGATGCCTGTCCTAATGAACCGCCGCAAGGCGACGAAGCGCACACGGTCTCTCACACCGCGAGCTTTCTTGAGTGATCCTAGCAGTAATAACGTCTCCCTTTTCCTTTTTTCTTCAGCCGTCACTACACTTGTTGTGGACACTCTCAGCGAACGATCCGTGCGTGTCCGCCGCCAAAGCAACGGAGTGAGAGTCCGTGAGACACGCTGTCACAAATATATAGATAAATTGACAGACTGACCAACAGAGCCGTCAAGTCTGACAAAGAAAACGATAGCACTGCATTGATAAGCAGTGTGCGAGGCAAACTGAAAGAAAACACACACCACACACACACACGCACACACACACGCACACAGCCAGGTTGACCCAACAGAATCATGGAGGAAATCGACTATAGCGTCGTTCGAAGAAATGTCCTTAGCGTGGGAGTGCACAGACCCAGCAGTTCTGGCTAACGACCGGGAGTTTGGGAACGCGAGTGACGAACAGGGAAAGACCAGAAGGCTTTCTGGGACAGAATGAGACTGTCATTTGAGGGTGATAGTTGCCGTCTAACAGAGCGACGTCGTTGCCTTTCCCGCCTTTCGCTGCGTTCCGGCCCCCAACGATGGAGGTGTGACAAATTCGGGCATCCACCGATGCGCTGAGCGCCAGCGCACCGCCAGGGCCGCCCGTTGCCACGTTCTTCGAGAACTTGCATCCGGAGACGAACACCTTCGGAGCACCCGACGCTGTCCCGACTACGAACAGTCCGCCGCCACTCTTTGCAGCCGCGTTCGAGTCCAGGGTCACGCGATCGAAGACGTAAGAACCGGTCATCTGTCCGTAGATGTACACGGCTCCACCATCCTGTCCCGCCCTGTTCGACCTGAACGTGGTACGGACGACTCTCCCCCTMCCGGCAGCGCTGACGTAAAGCGCACCGCCGGCACCTGACGCGCTGTTCTTCTCGAACAAGCARTCYTCGATGTGCCACGASGCCTGTCCATTGCCAACCGCGGCGGCGCTCGCTCCCTTGTTCTTCGTGAAGTCCACACGCCTCAGCTTCAGGTCGCACTTGGAGTAGACAGCTCCTTGCGCAGCATTGCGCAAGATCAAGTTCTCGATGGTCACCGAGCACAGAGGGGGCAGTGCATAGGCCTGGAAAATGCCGTACTTGCCCGCACCATCMACGACGCATTTGCGCCGACCACACCCTCCCTTGATGACGATAGGACCGAGAATCAATGGCAGCGATCGCGTGAGCACGATGTCCTCAGTGATGGTCACCACAACGGGACGCGTTGCCTTAGCGGTAGAGTTGATGGCCGCCGCCAGCCGTTGTTCAGCAGTGACGCGGCGAGCAGACGCCATTTGACAGCCATAGCCGAGAGCTAGAAGAACCAGCGCCACCTGCACTGCGGCCAACAGCGCGAATCGCTGTGCCGGAGCGGCGAACCCTCGCCTCGCCATCACGACCAAGCAAGCACCAGCGAGGTAGGGACAGAGATTCACAGAGAGACAGAAGGAGGAAGAGACTAGATCGGCAGCTGCACACAGTCCTCCTGCTGCTCCAAGGACTTGATCGAAACAAGGACTCTTCAACAACGCAGCTCGTTGCACGTGAAGCGCGTGCTTGCTCTGTTGCCTTGCACCTCTTTTAACGAACCTGGTTAGGGGTGAGATGATCGCTCAGCACCCGCCACTTCTCGGCTCGCCGCACCACTCACGAAACGAGGGAAGTGTCGAATGCATCTTCACGCGTAGTACGGTGAAAATATGCATCCACTCCTGTACATAGTAGCAGATGTATCTTCCCGCCTTCTGTCCGTGGGCTAGGTCCCACTTACACGAATTACGCGACATTGACCGTAGATTGCAAGGATCAACGGCCAGAATCTCTTAAGCCGTGCAAGTGGGACCTTGCCGCGTGTGCATATGCCCTCCCGATTTTGTCGTTTCGTGAGGAGATTCGTGAGGCCCTTCCTGCACGTTCCACTTTTCGTGTCTGATGTGTACCTCTCCGCGGAGCTGTATGGCGACATTGGCGGGGAAAACGTGGACTCCAGACCTTTCTTTCACCTCTTTTTTCCAGTGGCGGGTTGGCCCTTTCCGCCCTTTCCGCCCTATTATTGCCGTCCGATACCGTGGTGAACTGCGCGTTGCAGGAACCCCGCCAAAGGGCAAACGGTGACCTACCCACAGCGTCATCACCAGAGATCACGCTACTCCTTTTTTGTCTTTTTTTTTTTTTTTTTTTTTTTTCCGGGTATCTTTTTGTTTTTCAAAAGAAGGGAGACGATGTGCATTATAAATCAAAACCCTATACCTTTCTCGGCCTTTTGGCTAAGATCAAGATCGTCGCTGCACTACTCGCCAGGGGCGAGGTCCCACTAGCAACGGGATAAGATAGAAACGAGCTTGTGGGGCAGTTGAGTGACCCAAATCATGCAGTGCAGTACTCGTGATCCCACGGTCAGTATTTTACATGTATTACCCGAAAATGTAGGGACGGGCATGCCCGTGCAAAGAAAGCTTCCTGCCAGAATCTTTTCAATCGGTTGGGGGTGTGGCCAACCCCAAAAGAGGGTGGGGTCGGCCATAGGCCCACTGGATAGAAGATTTTCAGTATTTTACTTGCTGTTGTGCAATTATGTCATTGGGTAGAGCCCTCCTTCAATCATGGAGTATATGGAGGGTGTCAGGATCACTGCGGAGTATATGGAGTATATTCGAGAGTATGTGGCAGTTACTTTGTTCACTGCTGTTGCAACCACCACGATCAGATCATTTGTGATCTGATGGGTGGGAAGCACTCTGCCGTGATTTCCGGTAGGAGGTCTCTGTTTCTCTTCTTTTGTTTTGCCTTTCTCTTGTTTTCTCAGCCCAGAAATGAGAGGAAGGATGCTAATCTTCTCTGTATGGATGGGGCAAGGGGGCATCGCAGCTGGGCGGCTGCGCTAATTCGAGCCGCTCCAATCCGGCGCCGGCATGGTTCGACGGTCTCTCTGGGGATTTTTTGGTCGGACTCGTGCCCTGCCTCGTCGCCAACCCCGCCGCCGGGAGCGATGGGCTCATGCTACTCACACTTCGTGAGGACCGGCTATGTCGGTTTGAGCACTTTCAAGGTAGCCCATATGCCTATGTTAGGTTAGAGGTATAACTCAACCTACTATCTGTGAGATCGGGAAGCTATCCATGGTCACCCTGGTGGTAAAACTATCTTCATCCTAAGTCTTGCAATAAGCAGTTGTCGCCATCTTTATTTAGGTTATGAGGAGATTCTAGAGCTGAAGGGAGGAAGGAGATGATAAAAGAGAAGGAGATCGGCTGGGTTTGGCTCAAGCATTAAGAAGATCTGGAAGGCGAGAGAAGAGAAGGGAAGACTAGGAGAGTATTCAACATGCTCTAGCCCGTTCGACAATATGGAGGGAAGGGGAAGAAAAAGGGGTCAGCTGCTTCCTCGCTCCAAGGAAGCATGAAATGCAGATGAGTTGGGTCATCCAAGATGGCCATAAATGGTAATCGTGCAGAGACTTTCGTCACCAATCTTATAAGGCAGCCTGAAGGGGGATGGAACATCGCTCGGAGGAATCCTTCTAGGGTCGACCGTGGAAGCTGAGGGTAGTTCAGATCGGAGGGATGGAGATGGATAGGGCCTGTGTATCTTTTTAACGGAGAACGGGCAGAATTCAACGTCCGAACCCCCGTTTAGCGGCCCTTGGGACTCCCGTTGAATCGTGTTTAACGTGAAAATGGGGGGCGTCGAATTCCGAAAAACAGAATTCGCGCCTCGGGCCTCGGACATGTGGCCCTACGCACCCAAACACAAGAAACAGGAAAAAAAAATAAAAAATTTGACCCCTATTAACAGGGCGGGGTGGCCAAACATGCCCCTCCCTTTCGAAAACCAAACTGCAAGAGGGAAAAATATGGGGCCACCCCGTACCCCAGCACTCTGAGCACATGTGTGTGCATGTTGGTGCATGTCCTTTTTTTTTTTATACCAAATGCTCCAATCTGTTCGTCCAGTCTCATTTCCTAAGGGCCCCTGCATATTAGTAAGGGATCCCTCGCGGAGCAGAGTTGGGCATTGGACTTGTAATCTATCTGCGTGGGCCTAGAATATATAGTCTGGATTCGAATTCAGGTCTATGCATCACACTGATCATAGTTATGGGTCACTAATTGTCTGTTTTCTTGTCTCTCTTTTGTTTCTCGTTTTTCTTTTGTTTTCTGTTTTTCTTTTTGTTTTTTCATTTTTCTTTTATTTTCTCGTTTTTCTTTTCTTAGGAATACGTGCAGTGGCCCTAAGGGCCTCTACTCACCACATGCACAGAAGACAAAACATATGGCGGTGCATTATTCCACGTTCTTGCAGAAGATCCATTCTTTTTTTTTTTTTTTTTTTTTTTAGCCCAGGGTGTTGTAGAGGCGAAGGACCAGACCCGCGGTCATTGCTGGCAGCGGCGGCCAACGGTTGTCCTGACAGGATAGGCCACCTACCCTACCCATACCCACGTTAATACTCCCAGCGCACCCCCTGTCCCTACTATCCTAATTAACTTTTTTCTTTTTTCTTTTTCTTTTTTGGCCCTTCTTCCCGGAGTGCTTTTTTCTTATACTTCTTTTTCTTCTTAAACGAACCATCACGTCTCAATTCTATTCTAAGGCATTCCTCTGGGACTGGTCTCCTTTCCCTCACTCATCCCCCTTTTTTTCTTCTTTCTTTTTCAGATTTTTTTTTTACAATGAAAGAACTGCATATTAGTGCATAATTCATTATAGGCTTGTGCTCCACCGACTTCTTTGGGGAGTGTCCCCAACTTAATAATAAGTTAATATACGTACGGTGCAAAGTTTACAATAACGCATAAGGGTCGACAGCGCACAAATTTTGCAATTAAAAAAAGAACATTGCTACCCAACGCCTTCATCTCAGGGGCACAACCCCATTGGATGGCCAAGTTTGGCCGCTGCCGTACAGGACCCTCTAAAGAAAAACTTGGCTGGAGGGTAGGTGCTATGGCTTCTCCATTCTTATGGCCGGCGGAGGGGGCCCCGGAAGTGCTGGGCCACTGGGGAAGTGCAACCTCCGTGTTCCGAGTGACTCCCGACCCCGAGGAAAAATTAATTTGTCCATGAGGCGGTGGAGCCCCAATTGCTTTGAGGAATTTCCTGGAAGTAGGTCGGTGGAGCACAGCAGGGTCAATACCACCATGTGCATGCAAACGGCGGTGTGAGCTCGAAAACCGCTTTCTGTGTGCATTCAGTTGGTTAATGAAACAGCCAGATGGTATCTCGATGGGGAAGTAGACCAGTCCACCGCTTGCCTGTATTCTATGTGTGTTTTTTTGGGGGGGGGACTACGTGGGAGTCGCAACAATGAGTTGTAAATGGGCCAAGATACAGTTTCAAATTGCAGTTCAGGCAATGTATACAACCCAGCTTTCTGGCCAGGTAGGGTGCCCGAAGTGCAATTGCAAACTGTATATTGCCCCATAGTGCAATTATAACTCATTTTTGTGACACTACGGAATTTACCCCTATGTTTTTTTTAAACAAAGAAACCGTCTTTTTTTCAGCAGTGCCCACTGCCCAAGGCTTCAAACAAAGCTGCTCTATGTGCCTTTTACAAAAGCAGGTTTCCGTCCGAATTGAGTGCAGATAGAATATGATTAGGGGAATCAAACGTGGGGTCGGGGACCTCTGGGAGAACAAGAGACAGGACTGGATAACAGTTGATCAGCTGCGGGAAACCCTGCGGTACTGTGATCACGTGGGGGAGCTCTTGGATGACTTAATTGAAGCCATCCCGCTGGCGTGCTACCGAGTCCTCAAACGAGGCCCCACCCTGAGGGAGGGCGATTGGGTGGCAAGCAGGGAGGCCCCGCTGAGGCTCGGCCAGATTCACATGGTCTCCCCTCAAACAGTCCTAATCAAGCACTACACTACTACCAGGACAGGCGCCCTCCAAGGGAGTAGAGCCCCCTTTGTTTGGATGGAGAGAGCGTCTGTGTACCGAGTGAGGGTCATGGAGGAAAAAGGGGAGAGGGTGGTGTTCCAGCCATTCATGGCGATCCAGGATCTGGCCCTAGATCCGTTGGAATGGACATGGAAGCTCCCCCAAAAGAGGGGAGGCCCCCATGCCGGTCACATTAGCCTTTATCAGCTGTCGGCTAAATCGGCCTTTAGAATGCTTAGACCCAAGCGACATTTGAGAGACGTGGTTAACGATCTATGGGTTAAGCACCACGTTAACGTGGACCGTTCCCTGCTGACGCTGATTCGTTGGTTCAAGGAACACCTCCCTGCAGTGGCAGATAGCTCATCGCTGTCCGCCGACCAACGACTGGTTAGCGGGCTGCACTAGTCTGGAGCAAAAGGGTCTGCTGCTGCCATGGTGCCAGCGGTGCCTGAGCCTTTTCCCCTCCCACAAGACGGTGGAGACCATTGAGCACATATTTGTGCAATGCCCGATTGCCCAGTTCACATGGAGGTGGTGGGACCGCATCTGGCGGGAAATGGGGATTGATATCCCCTGGCCTTGGTCATGGTGAGCCATATTGGCTGGGTATTGGCCTATGGCAGGGGAAGCCGTGACCTTCGTATAGAATATGTACATACTTAGGAGGGCTGTGATATGGGCTCTTTGGTGGCAGAGGTGTGTACCCTGACCCTGGAGAAG